ATCCCGGTCTCTCCGGGGGCTGTGCTTCGCTGCGGCGAGCAGGGAAACGATGAGCCTGTTTGGCGTCGCAGGTGTACATTTCTAACGGGGAGCGTGACCATGGCCACGGGCGGGACAACCAGCCCCCCCAGCATCCCTCGTCACACCAACCGCCTGATTAACGAGAAGTCCCCCTACCTCCTGCAGCATGCTCACAACCCCGTGGATTGGTAAGAGTGACCGGTGCCTTTCTCCCTCTTTCTCTCCTTGTGTCTGTGGGGCTGAGGGACTCGCTGCCATGGAAGCGATGGCAGGCGAAGCAGCCTGGCCCCCTGTGCAGCTCCTTGCAGGCTCCGGGTCCGTGCTCCTGGGCCAGCCATGCCCCGGCTGTCCTGACCGCTCTCCACCAGGCAGCGGCTTCTCGGGCAGCTTTAGAGGAGCCCATGAATCCTGGCAGCAGTGACCCCTGAAGCTCCTTTCTTGTTTTCCCTCCACAGGTACCCTTGGGGTCAGGAAGCCTTTGATAAAGCAAAGAAAGAAAACAAGCTGATATTCCTGTCAGGTAACCAGAAACAAGACATATTTCATGTTCTCACATGTTGTTCAGTAGGTGATTGGATAAGCCGGGCTGCGTCCTGAGCTGGTGTGTGAGTAGCCACGCAGGTAAAGACGGACACTGAGCACTAATTCTCTGCTAGCAAGAGAGGGCCACGTGCTTTAATAGCGCTCTCTGAAGATGGGCTGCATCAAAGACCAGAGTCCTTGGCCAGATTTTAGGAGCAAGAGCTGGAGAGCCCAGGAGACCCTGCAAACCTCCATGTTTGCAGGAGATCTTTCTCCTCCATCTCTTCTCTAGGGGGGTAGCAGCTGTTGCCTGTAGCACGGTTCCCCACCTCTGAGCGATCTCCCCATAATGCATGTCCTGCTCCCTGCAAAGGGCCTTTCCTCACTCACCTGGGCTTGTTTTCAGTTGGCTACTCCACCTGCCACTGGTGCCATGTGATGGAGCAGGAGTCCTTCAAGAACAAGGAGATCGGGGAGATTATGAACAAGAACTTTGTGTGCATCAAAGTGGACCGTGAGGAGCGGCCAGATGTGGACAAAGTGTACATGACCTTTGTGCAGGTAAGGGAGGCATGGGCAGGTCTTGGGAGGCTTTGACTGGCTCCCTCAAGATGAGGTGCATGGTCATGTTCCTCAGGCAAGAAGAACCAGTATGTGGGGTGGCGTGAATGGGGCCGTGCATGATCACAAGAGTGGAGAGGAGCACGCGTCTGTCCTCAAGTGAGGCACTTGGATGTGCCGGAGGGGTACAGAGCAGAGGGTGTCTCTTGCGTGACCTTGGTGCACCCGTGATTTGTCTTTCAGGCAACCAGCGGTGGAGGTGGCTGGCCGATGAGCGTCTGGCTGACTCCAGACCTCAAGCCCTTTGTAGGGGGGACATACTTCCCTCCTGAAGATGGAGTTCATCGCGTTGGCTTTCGGACAGTGCTGCTCCGAATTGCAGAGCAGGTATCGAGCATGAATGGCATAACAGGCAGTGCTCAACCAAAGGGGCTGCAGGGAAATTGGTCTGGGCTTGATGGGTGACTGAGTTAAGAGATATGCTCGTGAGAAGCAGTAGCCCAGAGAACTGTCAGAGCTTTGGCTGGGTTGGAGATGGATTGGAACTGATCTGGGGAGGGGGACTGAGAACTGAAGGTGCAGTTTGGACTGGTGCAATGCAGGAAGCAGAAACAGAGACAAAAAAATGGAAGAACTGACTTTCTCACTCTGCATCTTAGTGGAAGGAGAACAAAGATGCCCTGTTGGAGAACAGCCACAAGATCCTGGAAGCATTGCTACACATGTCCGAGATCCGTGTGCGGGGCCAGGAGTCACCCCCACCGTCCAAAGAGGTGATGGCCACGTGTTTCCAGCAGCTCTCCACCTCCTATGATGAGGACTACGGTGGCTTTTCCAAATCTCCCAAGTTCCCCACCCCAGGTCAGTCTGGCCTGTGCTGCTGAGCTCTGCTGTGGGGCAGGCAGCACTGGGGGGCAGAGCCCACCCCACAGCCTCTTGCTTTCTCCCTGTATTTCAGTGAATTTGAATTTCCTCTTCACGTACTGGGCCCTGCACCGAACAACTCCAGAAGGTGCCCGGGCACTGCAGATGGCTCTGCATACCCTCAAGATGATGGCCCATGGGGGCATCCATGACCACATCGGTCAGGTAGGAGGGAAGCCTTGGGGCTAAACCCCTGGCATGCCCAGGAGGCATGGGGGGCAGGCGTTGGGCGGAGAGGTGGGGTGGAGACGTGTCCACTTGGCCTTTGCAGGGGTTTCACCGCTACTCCACTGACCAGCACTGGCACGTCCCTCACTTTGAGAAGATGCTGTACGACCAGGGGCAGCTGGCGGCTGCGTATAGCAGAGCGTTTCAGGTACGGCTGTGGCATCCCTCTGCAGGGGGGCTCACTTGGCACGCCGAGTGCTGGCTGGGGAGGGCTGGCTTGGTTTGGGGAGCAGCTTCAAAGCCTGTTCCCCAAGATGCTGCCCATCCCATGGGCATGGAGCGGTCCCATGCTCCTCTTCATCTACTGGTCTTCATCCAGACAGGGACGCTGCACAAATCTGTGACAGTTTAGCCCCAGGGTTTTGAGCATAATGAGGGAGGGAACAGCCTTCTGGCTGGTCTTTGCAAGAGTCAGCAAACACGTGCTGCTGCCTGTGACCTTGGCGTAACTCCAGGGTTGCTCTCCAGTGCCTGTAGATTTCTATCAGAGATCTCGCTCTGAATCCGTCCCATGTTTAAAATCCCTGGACATTCAAATGTGTTTCCTCCCCTTTGCCAGCTCTTTAAATCAGAACCACTTATTATATCTCACTGTGTCTCTTGCCTCCTCTCTGCCCCTTGTAACATTGATGTCCACTCCGTGCCTCCCGCAGATCTCTGGCGATGAATTCTTTGCTGGTGTCACCCAAGACATTCTGCTCTACGTCTCGCGGGACCTGAGCGACCAGGTAGGTTGTTCCCTGAGCTGGGCCATGGGGAGCCGCTTACCCTGCCCTGCGATGTGGCTCGGGGCTGCTTTTCCCTCCCTCCCTTCCCAGCTGAGCTCAGTCTGGGGCACTGCTGCGGCTCTCTGGCCAGACCGCCAGCCCAGCAGTGATGGGGAGCTGGCTGAAGGTGCTGTCCCAGTAGCTGGAGGGTGCCTCTGTTGCTTTATTTCCAGGCAGGAGGTTTCTACAGCGCAGAAGATGCGGATTCCTACCCAACCACTGCATCCGGAGAGAAGCGAGAAGGAGCTTTCTGTGTGTGGGCGGCCGAGGAAATCCGGGCTCTCCTTCCTGACCCTGTTGAGGGGGCCACAGAGGGGACGACCCTGGGAGATGTCTTCATGCACCACTATGGAGTGAAGGAGACTGGCAACGTGAGCCCCATGAAGGTGAGGGAGAGAAAAGGCCTGCCCAGTACCAGGGGCATCAGTGGGGTACCCGCAGCCCTGGGCATGGGGGAATGGCAGAGCAGCCCCAAAGCACATGGGGTCCAACCCCTCCTCAGCCTGATGGCGTTCGTAGAATGGGGCTCTCCTTTCAGGACCCCCATCAGGAGCTGAAGGGCAAGAACGTTCTTATTGTCCAGTGCTCCCCGG